GGGATTCAATATCTGCAAAAGGGTATCTTTCTTACACCTTTAATTACCTTCGTTTATGTTTGTTTCCATTTTCCCATGCATGGAAAGTAGTTTTTTTTTTTCTGGCATTGATTTTGTTCCGTTGGATTGTTAACTTATGATATGAACTAATTAGATTTTTAGTGAAAGCTACTGAATTTGGTTGAGTTGAATCCGTTGAGTTATTTTAGAGCTTAATTGAATGTTTATTGTGTAGTTAGTGTGGGTTGGGTTTCTTTTTTTTTTTTGAACATTTAAGTGAATCTCTGATTTTTTTTTTTTTTTTTGGTTTATCATTCTCGAGTATGAAAAATCTGTTTTTTGTAATGTTCATTCATTGGAAATGTATGATTAACTAAGATTTTTAAATTTTAAGTCTTGTCTTGTGTTTGGTTTCTGAAAATTCAAGAGAGAAGGAGAATTAATGGCTGCTTAAAAGAATTATGAGTTTTAGTTTTCTTTTTTCATCAATGAACAGGAAGTTGGTGGTTTTGGTTATGTAATGTTTGTTTTTTATTATGATTTTATTTGTAATCTGGCATTTTAATCACATTTTTCTCAATGGTGGTTGTATGTGGGAACTTGCCGCGCTTTTTCTAAAAGTTCGGTACTTAAACTTCTTGAATCGGCATTTGTAACGTAGAATCTTTTGAGGGTAGTTGTTTGATCATTCAATTGTTTGGCATTTGAATCACATTTTTCCTATTATGATGGTTGTATGTGCGGATTTGCCGCGTCTTTTTTCAAAAGTTAGGTACTCAAACTGCACGGATATGCCGCGCTTTTTTCAAAAGTTTGGTAATGAAAACTTCTTGAATTGGCATTTGTAACACAAAATCTTTTGCAGATAGTTGATTGATCATTCAATATCTTGGCATTTTAATCACGTCTTTCTCTATTAAGGTGGTTGTAGTCCACACTTTTTTTTAAAAGTTCGGCACTCAAACTGTGCAGACTTGCCGCTCTTTTTTTAAAAGTTCGGTACTCAAAACTTCTTGAATTAGCATTATATCGTAGATCTTTTGTGGGTAGTTCTTTGACCATTTAACTGTTTTTGTATATCAAGTTTTTGACTCACAAATTCGAAGAAATATTTATTAGCATCCTACTCTTGCTGCTTCCTATGATTGATTATGGCATTTTGTTCTCTGTATTTTTCTCATCTTTGTTTATCTTTTGGAGTGAATTAGTTATTTAGTCTTTTAAGTTTCTATGAATCGCGTAATACTTGTAAATCCAAATTTTTGCTTTTTTTTTTTTAAAAAAATAGTCTTTTAAGTTTCTATGAATCGCGTAATACTTGTAAATCCAAATTTTCGCTTTTTTTTTTTTTTAAAAAAAAAAAAACGTTCGGTATTCAAACTTCTTGAATTGGCATTGTAACGTAGAATCTTTGGCTGGTAGTTGTTTGATCATTTAATTGGCCATTATATATTAAGTTTGTAGTTTATGCATAACAGGAAATACTGATTAGCTTTCTAAACTTGTGAAAGAGTTCCTGTGAGATCATGGCATTATTGTTCTTTCTAATATTTGCATCTTTGTTTATATTTACTACTGAAGTAGTTTCCTTATTTTTTTTATTGTTCTATAGATCACGTTATTCTCAACGGTAATATATGCAAATTTGCCACGCTTTTTTCAGAAATTTGGCACTCGGACTTCTTGAATTGGGCATCCTAAGATAGGCCGTAGAATCTTTTTTGTTTGATCATTAAAGTGGTTGGTATGCATCAAGTATCACAAGAAACAATGATTGGAAGTCTATATTTGTAAATAATTCCTATTTTTTCCTTCAATATTGGGCTTTTGCAGTCAAAACCTATTTAATGACCACAGCAAAAATATCAGGTGTTAAATACAGACATTAGTGGTGCTGACTTGTTGCTGACAACCCAACAACAATACCTCTAAAGAAGAAAGAAGGAAAGAACGTGGCCAGTTATCGAGGGCCACGTGCATTGCAACGATGGAAAGCATTAAAGAGGAGGCTGTCAGGGCTAAAAAGATGGCAGAAAAGAAGTTCGAGGAACGAGACATTGCTGGGGCAAAGAGATTTGCTTTAAGGGCTCAAAACTTGAATCCTAAGATTGATGGGCTTCTTCAATTGATAGCAACTCTGGATGTCTATATCTCTGCCGAAGAGGGTGCAAATGGTGTAAGCGATTGGTACAAGGTCCTTGGAGTGGAACCTTGCGCTGATGAGCCCACAATCAGGAATCAGTTCAAGAAACTGGCCTGTGTTATTCACCCTGATAGAAACAAATCTGTAGGCGCAGATGGGGCATTTAAGATTCTATCTCAAGCCTGGAGCTCATTGTCCGATAAACAGAGGAGATGTGCTTATGATCAGAAGCGGAAACTAAAGAGCGAGAATGAAAACATCTTGGTCAGGCAATCACATCTCTCCAACAGTAATGTTTCAAATAGCCCATTAAACCCCACATTTTGGACTGTTTGCTATGGTTGCAAGGCACAGTTTGAGTATCCCAGACTTTATCTCCGGCGTAATATTTTATGTTCCAAATGCCGTCGGCCCTTTCATGCTAATGAGGTGCCACCGCCACCTAACAATGACAATGGCTCATCCAAGCCTTTGGCTTCCCACATGCAAAGGCATAATCCGGGCGAATCTGCCATTAATAACAGCTCATCTGCTCAAGGAACGAGACCTACTTCTGCTGCAAGTGCGGAACGGGCCAGATTTTTTGGTCTTAACTCATCACAGAAAACTTCTCAGGCAGGCTTATTCTCAGAGGTGACAGAGAAGGAGAGAGGAAAGAAAGAAGCTTCTTCTGAAGGCATGAAGGTGCCAACTTTTGCTAAAGATAGGTGGTCTTGGAAGAGAAAGTTTAAAGAGGAATCATTAGATTCCATGACAGAGGTCACTAAGACCAGTCCTCGTGTTTTGAAGAAAGAATTCGGTGGAGTATCTCCTGGGTTTTCTGGTGCTGGTTTGGGTACTCTACCCGAAGGAGGTAAGCCTCAGAAAAGAAGACGAATGCCTGACCAGAATATGGAAGGTTCAGTGGAAACTGGAAACGGTGGATTTGCTGTGAAAACTGTGTTTGGATCGCAAGAGGGTGGCACAGCTACAACAAGGTGGAACATGGCTGGAAACTGCAAACTTAGTTTCACAAAGGAGCTGTCACAAAAAGAAGTGCGAAATATGTTGATGGAGAAGGCCAGGAAAGTGGTTCGTGGGAAGCTTATTGAATGGAGAACTGCTGCTGCGCCAAAAATTCCATACAAGTCGAAGGAGGTGGAGAATGAGAAAGGAAAGAAAGAAGCTGCTACACCTGTTGTAAAAGCTGATATGAGTAAACATACCAAGCATGTGGATACGAAGAAGAAAGAGAGCACTGGAAAGATTGCCCCTCGGAAAATTGATCTCAATCTTACTCCAGGTATCCCGGATCCAATTTTGATGACTGTTATAGATCCAGATTTTTATGATTTCGACAGGAATCGTACAGAAAGGTCATTCAGTAGCAACCAGGTTTGGGCTGCATACGATCAGGAGGATGGTATGCCTAGATATTATGCGATGATTCATTGGGTGATATCTGTAGAGCCGTTCAGAATGAAGATCAGCTGGCTGAATTCCAAAAGCAACGACGAATTTGGCCCATTAAGCTGGATTGCTTCTGGCTTTCCTAAAACTAGTGGGGAGTTCCGACCAGGGAAGCATAAAGTTTACGTTTCTCTTCATTCCTTCTCCCACCAGGTCAAGTGGACAAGAGGCGTGAGAGGAGTTGTTCAAATATATCCCAGAAAAGGAGATGTTTGGGCTCTGTACAGGAACTGGTCCCCTGATTGGAATGAGCGTACCCCGGATGAAGTGATACACAAATATGACATGGTGGAAGTACTCAGAGACTACAATGAAGCACGAGGTGTGAGTGTCTTTCCACTTGTGAAAGTAGTTGGTTTCAAGACGGTATTTTGCAGGCATTGGGACCTGAGAGAAGTCAAGACAATTCCGAGGGAAGAGATGTTTCGGTTCTCTCACCAGGTACCTTCTCACTTCCTCATAGGTAATGAAGGTCTCAATGCTCCTCCAGATTGCTTGGAGCTTGATCCTGCAGCTACACCTTTGGAACTTCTCGAGGGAACAAAAGAAGCGCGGAAGAAAGAAGTGGTGAAAACAGCTGAGAAACCAAAGGAAGAAGGTCTGATGGAGAGTTTGCAAAGCCCCAAGGTATGCGAGCTGGTGGAGAATCACAAACCGGCCATTGAAAAATATCCGTTACAAGATGCTGAAAAGGTTGTGGCAGAAAAGAAGGGTAAGGAGAACGGTGAGGTAAAGTTGGCAGTATACAACCGTAGACGAATAAGGGAAGGGAAGAAAATTTAGGGGCACTCACATTTTTTCGACGTAGTGGGCTTGACTTAAATGTAAAAAGATTCATTTCTTCAGTTATACACACAGCAGTTTGAAAAAAGAACGTGTTTTTACTCAGGTACAATAGTTTTGTTCTCTTTGATGTAGGAAGGTGAGTCTACAGTTTTGTTTGGCATCAACCCGCCGTAACTTGCAGACAGTTAAGAAAGAGCCTTTTTTTTTTTTTTTTTCCAAACACAGTCCTATAGAACTAACTCTTTGCAGCTCGGCCAACTTGTGAGCCTTGAAGCAGCATGCTTTTTTCTTGTGGACCTCATAATGTTGTTCATTTTCATTTGTATGGAACTTGGATAAACTTTTAGCTTTTCATATGACTTAGGGTATGTTTGGTAGTGATTCTTGGAGTCCAAAATCAATTCTCTAGCCATCCACCGCTGAAATTTGTGTTTAGTAAAAACCATAAAAAGTGATTCTTAAAGAATTTTTGAAGAATTTACAGTCAAAATCAGAAGCAGTCCAAAGGCAACTTTGGCTTTTAAATTATGTGGCAATCACATTGAAGTACAATAATGAAACTTTCATAATACCCATAATACTCCTGGAATCAATATTTGTTAATTACAGTTTACCAAACACTCAGCTGCTTTTTGCAACTGTTTTTCTTTTCAGCATAGCTAACAACAATTTTTCTAAAATCTACAGCACTACCAAATTGACCCTTGGCCTCGGTGTTGCTTCCATTCTCAGTTTCATGCTTTTATTATGCATCTTGGTTACTATGGCCTTGACTTTTGAGTTATATGATTGTTCATTTGCATTCACAAGAGAAAAGGTGAGCTCTATTGAACTAAGCCTAGTTTTCTTTCCTATTCTTGTTTAGTGCTCCCTCATTTTTTTTGTTCTTTTGTTCTTTTGTTCTTTTCCCCCCTTCCCAGATTCATCTTATTATCTTTGAATAGGCCACCTTTAGCATAATGCTTAATATTGTCTATAAATGGTGAAAATAATAGGGAATTTGTGAAAAACAACTTGTGATGGGCTTAGTTTTCAGAAAACATGTATATGTATATGTACATGAATGTGAATGTATATATACATTCGTCCTTCATGTCCTCGTATTTGCATTGCATAATACATATATACACACACACATTACAACAAGAGTGAAGCCATAGAGTGAAGCCATGTATAGTCGAGGGTAGGCAGCCGCCCTACCTCAAATATATATATTTTTAATTTTATATGTGAAATATGATGAAATTTGTTGTTTGTGCCTCTCGAAATCTTAAATTTATGTTTTGTCTCACCTCATAACATATAAAATCTCCCATTTGTCTTTTAATGTGAAGTCTGATGAAATTTTTAGTATACTTCCTCGCCACAAACTTAATTTTCTAGCTTTTATACACACACACAAGCACATATATATGTTACTATAGTAAATTGGCTTAGCACTATTGGTTTTTAGCATGGCCTAATGTGTATATAGGTATTATATATGTATGTAATACATGTGCACTCTGTGAAGTGTCCCCAGTTATCAGTGTTATTGAGTTGTAGAACCATGGTAAAGCTGAGGACAGCCAAGCAAGAGGACACAGAACTATTGGTGGCTTTATGTTTGCACAACAAAGCAGATTTACCCTTTCAACTCTGATATTGTTTCTCCACCAAGAGCAGATTCTGCAGCAAAAGATTAGATGTGAAAGGAGAAGTTTGTTTGTATTGTATATTCATAGCAATTTTCCTCTGTAGAGCAGACATATTCTGTAAAAGGGAAAGGCAATTCACTAAGTTGAAAATTTGTTGTAACTTTGCCGTCAAGCAAAATATTATTTGCATTTTCTTATCTATGATGAAAAAGAGGGACTTTCTTTTTGTTATAAAATTGTGACTGTTCAAAGTTCAATACATAGATTAGTCTTAACTGATCTTCCACTACAGGGAGAGAACTGTGCATGATTACTGATATAGAAGTGAGAACCATAATATGTAATTTACGATATTGATTTTAAAGAGGTGCAATACCCAGAAATTTTGTAGTTATTATAAACTATGGTTACACCTCTACAACGTCAGTGTTCTCGAAAAGCTCAAAAATAGCGAGAGTTTAAGAGGAAATATGAAAAAAAAAAAAAAAAAAAAAAAAAAAAAAAAAAAAAAAACTCTCTTCCATGAACATTATATGATAAATTATGCAAAAGTTGGTGCAAGGAACCACATACTCCATAAATGGTATATTGGCTGTGAAAAGAGGCTTTAATTCCTAACCGCAAAAGTGGAAATGATTCACCAGGTACACAAATAGTTGGAAAAACACCCGGCCAAACTTTATTATTGAACCATAAGGAAAATAGGGGAATCTTCAATATTTCTTTAATGCTAATTTGCTTCTTGACAACTTTGAAGCATATATTACTGTGAAAAAGAATAGATGCTTTGTTGACTAAAGACTATTCATATTTGCGTACATTATCATTTTAACTTGGGATTGTTAGGTACAATGATTTGTTGTTGTAAATTTTTTTTTTTTTTTGATAGAGTACATTGAGTTGGTTAATCAAATGGTCCGTTTAGTTCGTGAATTTGAGTTGATATGTGACTTTATGTGAGAGTTTTACTGTAATAAAAAATATATATGTGATTATTTCTGATAATTTTTTACTGTAGTAAAACTCGAATTCTAAATTTAAATCGGTGAAATAAACATGGTCAAAGTGTATACAATGTAGAGAAAGAGGGAAATAGGCCAAGACTTGAGATGAATTAAAATTAATAGGCTAATAGTTTACATAAGTTAATAAACAGGCCAAATTACTGTTTTCGTCCATAACTTGTCTGGTTATGAACCATAACTTGACAAGTTATTATCCATTACTTATCTGGTTATGAACCCTAACTTGACACGTTTGTCTATAACTTATCTGGTTATGAATCCTAACTTGACACGTTTGTCCATAACTTATTTGGTTATGAACAATAACTTGACAAGTTATGACCTATTAATTTTTATAACTAAAAATTAGCCTATATACTTTCTTAAGTTTTTTATATTGGCCTATATTTTTCTAAAAAAAATGTGTAGAAGAAATGAGAATTCTTCAAATTGGAATGTCTCCTTCTAACATTGGCCAGCCAACCATGAACTTGTGCGTGTACTTGTGCTCTCCTTTATATTAGTGCAATATCTTATCTTATAAACCAAAAGGAAAAAAGAAAAATTGAAGAAAAGCACATGCCGTCTCCATTATAAAATATTAGAGAAACAATTAAGGGAAACTTTTTTTTCTTTTTAAATGTCTATATTCTATTTCCATACAAAAGAAAGGGAAAAAAAAGTGTTTAACCAACAAACTCGTTCCAAATAAAAAGACAGTATAAACTATTATTAAGGTAAAGGCTTTTGGCAATAGTGATAATGATGATTATAACAACAACATATCATCACCACTATAATCTTGCTAATCTAGAAAAATTTATAACATGTGAAATAAATTCATGATAAAATGTCTTTTCTTTTATTACGGGTAGAACTGCAAGTTGGGAATGGGCTAAAAAACAGACTTGAACTTCTGGATTAGCCGGATTAGACCAAAGTTTTGAGCCCCAAAACTTATTCGGGCTAGTTGGCCGGCCCAAATACCTTTTTTTCGAGATAAAGAGAAACACATCATAATTAGTAGAGTGATTAATAAATTATAACATATTTTTAAAAACTAATAAATTATAGCATAATTTGAACTTTTAAGTATTAAACAATATTAAAAACCCAAAAATACCCATAAACATTCTTTTCCACCTCACTCTTTCACTTAAACATCTATTCTTTAAAAAATAGTAAATTATAGCTTTTTTTTTTAAAATAGGTAGATTATAGTCAAGTCCACTATGACGGGGACCGGCGGCCGGCTTCGGTGACTGTTTTCCGACTACCATTTTTCCGATGACCGTTTAACACTGTATTTACAGGTAAATACCGTATTTATTAATAAATATTGTATTTACTAGTAAATATCATATTTACCTTAAAATTCGGTGATCATTTTTTCGACGAGCGTTTAACACTGTATTTACCAGTAAATACCGTATTTACTAAAAAATCTGGCCACTAACTCTGGGGACCGTATAATACCGTATTTACTAGTAAATATTATATTTATTTAAAAATTTGGCCACCGACTCCAGCAACAGTTGAACATTGTTTTTACTAGTAAATATTGCATTTACTAGTAAATATCACATTCATCTAAAAATTTGACCACTGATTCCGGTGACCGTTTAATACTGTATTTACTTGTAAATATTATATTTATTACTATCATATTTATCTAAAAATTTAGTCACCGACTCCAGCGACCGTTTAACATTGTATTTACCTTTAAATACCGTATTTACTAGTAAATATCATATTTATCTTAAAATCCGGCCACCGACTCCAGCAACCATTAAATGCTATATTTATCGGTAAATACCGTATTTACCAATAAATATCATATTTACTAATAAATATCATATTTATCAAAAAATTAGCTACCAACTCCAGTGACCATTTAATACTATATTTACTAGTAAACACCATATTTACCGGTAAAATACCGTATTTACCAATAAATACCGTATCTACTAATAAATATCATATTTATCTGAAAATCTAGCCACCGACTTCGGTGACTGTTTAACACTGTAATTACGAGTAAATACCATATTTATCAGTAAATCTCTTATATATTAGTAAATATCATATTAATCCAAATATCTGGCCACAGATTTCGGTGATCGTTTACAATGTATTTACCGATAAATAGAGAGATCATGATAAAAATAAATTGTGATAGATGGGTCATGTATAAACAAAAGCAATCCCTTTTTTAAATTAAAAAAATTAATCAAAGAAGGGAATTAAAAAAAGAAAAAAAAAAAACGTGAATGATTCAAGTACTGACTTCTTGCTCTTTCTTAAATTGATATAAACATACAATTTTTTCTCGACAACATGATATCGCATTTTGGTGCACACACCTATATCTGTGGGGTCACGCCCAGACAGTAAACAGTTTATTATGTTTTAGAAATTACAGACACCGAACGGACTTATTTACTCAAGGACTCCCTCCTAGACAATGATGCCGCTGTGACTAATCTCCATAGTGATTATTTAGTGTGCACTATACGTCTTCTATTCACCTAGTGAACTCCCTTCGACCGGCAGAACTTCCTCTTGAAAGCAACAAATCCCTCTCTCAAAGAACGATCCCAATAACTCACAAGGCTCACAAAAAACTCACAAACATCTCTTTGAATATTTTCTCAATAATAAGCTCTCAAATTCACAGATTTTTCCTCTGGAGGTGTTATATTAAATTCATACACTATAAATGAGCATCCTAGAGTCGTTTATATAGAATTTGTACTCCATGACAACCTTAGATAACATCATCAATATCCAATAATTATCTCCTCTTTAATCAACTGTTCTATCCGAATATTTTTTATCAATTATCCCACGTTTAACTTTTAAATAAAACTAATTCATGATTTGCTGCACTACATCCGTTCACTTCGCTAATTTGAGTTTTTCTTCAGTAAAAAGCTCTCACAAACAATCACATCTAACTTTTTTGCTACAGTAAAAAACTCTTACATAAAATCACATTTCAACTCGAATTCTAAACTCGAATCAACAAAGTGAACGAGGCCTAAACCCAAGTATTGCTTTGTACAGCAAGTAGACAAATTACGCCAAATAGATTTTTCAAATCTATTTCAAATTTTCAATTCCTTCCATCCCACTTTTGCGGCACTAATTTTATTCTCCAGATTATGCTCCATTTATCCAAATCCAAACAAGTCTCACATCTGCAGCTCAATCAAATTTAAATGCCTAACAATATATATCCAAGACTTTCAAATACTCCAAGCTATTACTTTATCTCCTCTCCTCATAAATAGCAATCGGATTATGCCACAACAAATCAAATCTGAATATGCCTTTGAATTCAAATTCTGAATCTGCCTCGGGTTGCAAACAAATATCTTCTTGTAGGCTATCTCCCATTCAGAATTAAAATCACCATTTTTAATCCTTATCTCCACAGATCACAACTTAATAAAATCTGCAACTTCAACTTCAAATTTAATTCGGAATTTTTTTCTGCAATTTTAAATCTTTTTAAACCTATTTTTTGAATTTTTACAATATTACCAATAAATTACCAACTAATAAAATACCTAACATGGGTAAATGTGGAAATAAAATATATATTCTAAAAATAAAATGAAAATATGCTTTAATTTATTATTATTTAATAAATATGCTATTTACTTCAAATATAGGAATGAAATATCCTATGTGGTGTATTTTCCTTTTTTTCTTTTTTTTTTTCTGAAAATTGCCTTATAAAATTTTGCATCTGACCGACCCGTTAGGCTTCAGAGTTAAGTTGGGCTGACCCTCCATTCTCTAGGATCACGTTGGTGCGGCTCAAAATTTCTATTCAGGTATGGCAGTCTGAACAATCACCTCTAATTATGAGACACAAAGGGCCTGTTCACTTCGCTGATTCGAGTTTGTAATTCGAGTTGAGATGTGATTTTGTGTGAGAGCTTTTTACTGTAGTAAAAAAGTTAGATGTGATTATTTCTGAGAGCTTTTTACTGTAGTAAAACTCGAATTCTAAACTCGAATCGGTGAAATGAACGGGGCCAAAGTCTTTATTTTGTTTTATTTTTAGATTTTGAATATCGTTACCTACCATAGCACATGCATAACATCACAAAAAATAAAAATCTCAAAAATAAAAAAGGGAGAAGAATCTTAAGTTTTGTTTGGTTCAACAACTTAAATTGTTAATTTAGTTTGAGTTATGATAATTTTAATTATGATTTAAATTAATATTTAAATACACAAATAAATTTTAATTTTAATTGAGAATAAAATCTGAATTATATTTAGATAAATAGTTAAAAACTGTCGTGTCCTACTGTTTAGCTTAACGACAATCGTTTAAACAAGAAAAACCAAAAACGGCAAACGACGTATGTTTTTGGTGCGTCTTCCAAATAACAAAATCACCCCTTTCCAAAAAAAAAATAATAATAATAAAAAATAATTATTTCATTATCCTAAAAAAACAATTATTTGTTTATCCCATTCACATTGTAAAAAAACACACACACACACACAATTATTTATTTTATTATTATTATTTTTTAAAACCCAATACAAATACAATACAAAACAAAGAAAACAAAAAAAAAGAAACATCTCTGAATTCTGAACTGCACGGGCTCTGTACCTTATCCCATCTTCCTCTCTCCGTCTCTCGTTTTCTCTCTCCTCTCTCTCTCTCTCCCCTCGCTCTGCAACAAATCTCCCAATCCAATCTCACCATTTTCATCTCTCCAAAAAAAAAAAAACAAGAAAAGAAAAGAAAAACTCTTCTCCGATCAAATTAACCCAATAGAACTCGGTTTTTATTCCATGGACGGCAACAACACCACCGCCGCCGCAGCCCAACAGCAGAGCCAACCGGCGGCGTTTCCTGCGGCGGCGACGGCGACGGCGGCGCAATCGGGCTTACCGGCGACAGCGCCGTTCCACCACCTGCTCCAGCAGCAGCAGCAGCAGCTGCAGATGTTCTGGTCGTACCAGCGGCACGAGATCGAGCAGGTGAACGACTTCAAGAACCACCAGCTCCCCCTCGCCCGCATCAAGAAGATCATGAAAGCCGACGAGGACGTCCGCATGATCTCCGCCGAGGCCCCCATCCTCTTCGCCAAGGCCTGCGAGCTCTTCATCCTCGAGCTCACCATCCGCTCCTGGCTCCACGCCGAGGAGAACAAGCGCCGCACTCTCCAGAAGAACGACATCGCCGCCGCCATCACCAGAACGGACATCTTCGATTTCCTCGTCGACATCGTCCCCAGGGACGAGATCAAGGACGAGGCCGCTCTCGGCGGGATGGTGGGGGCCACCGCCCGCGGCGGCCCCC